CGAGATTCCAGACTTGTCAAGAACTTTCTACAGTGCATCTTTCAAACTAAACAAATTGGGAGCATCTAATCTGAACTAGCTGCATACTAGAGGAAACCATACCTGGATGACCTTTAGCACTTGAAAGAACCAGAACATGACTTGCTTTTCGTTTCTTTAGCTTTCAACTTCACTAAACTGTTCCCGCTAGATAATAGAAGTTCATGGAGTAAGCAGTAGATCTAGAGCCCGGGTTGATATTAAAACTAAACCACTGTTCTACATTTCCATCCTACGATTGCACTTGGTCGTATTTTAGTGTTGTGTTATAGCGTGTCAAGTTTTTGGCGCCATTGCCGGGGAACTTTCTAGATTATTAGGAAAGGCAGAAGTTTGTTACTTTAGCGTTTTTTTTTCTTTTCCACCCTTGCTTTTCACTTGGTTGTTTTGTTTTTGTTGGTGCAAATCTGAAACATGGATCCTCATGGCTTATCCAACCATTGGGGGTATCAACCACCATCAGAGTGGTATTACCCCGAGACTTCCTGGAGCAATCAAGGAGAAGAAGACTATGGATTCGGTTTCAGTACCAACCCCATACTACGGAGAACAACAATACCATTGGGAACCTCAAGAACAATATCTTTATCAAGAAGAATTTTTCCTACAACCAGAAGGGCCATCGGAGCTGGAGGTAGCCATGGCGTCCTTCACGGGCCATTCTGCAAAGGCATGCTACACTCCAGGCCATCGAACAAACTTGGTTCGCTTACCGTGAAATAGAGGAGACCCTCTTGAGCATAAAGAAGCACATACAGGTCATTGAGAAAGATTATGCACAGTTCGATCAATACAACCTTTATGCTACAATAAAAGTAGAGGAGGAGGAAGAAGAAGCCAATCATGAGGATGTTGAAGAGCATACAGAAGTTGTCACAGAGAGCTCCCGTGATAATCATGATGTTGATATGACTTGAATTGGATTATCAGCCGCTACCCCCGGCCCACGGTGTACGGGCTCAATGTTATTTGGGTTCGGGTTCTGGGACTGGTCTGTAACCGTTTCCTTTGCCAGATTGGATTAGGTTTAGACCCACATGGAGAAGTACTATAAATACTTCTCATACTCCTCTGTAATCTGTAATCTCCTCAATATAGTGAAACTGGCTCTCTCTCGCCCGTGGACGTAGCTAACACACATCGTGTTAGTGAACCACGTAAATCGTGTGTCGTGTTTTCGATTCTCGCTTTCGTATTCTTGCTTTGTCGATTCCTGCGATTTCCCGATCCGTAGCAGCGCGTTTATAACACATGATCAGGAATGCCCTCTGGTGGCAGATCACACCTTTCCCCATTTATGCTATGACATGCAGGGCTCGAGCGAGGAGATGCAAGATTATCTCATGAAAGAAATTTCTTGGCGACTTGTTCTCCAATTCGTGCTAGAATAAGAAGAGCAAGAAAGGACTAGGAAAGAAGTTGTGGAGGAGGACGAAAGTGGAAATTTTTTGATCTTTTCCAAGGGGAGGAATAAAATTATGAGGAAGGAAGTGGGTTGAACAAACAATTGGCGTCCAGGTTGAGGACGAAGTTGAGGTGGAAGAGGCTTGCACCGACCATGAGTTACATGTGATATCTCCACCAAACTTCGAGGAATTGTTTGGAAAGGACTCATTTGAAGTGTCTCTTTGCCAGACCAAGGCCACATCGATATCGGTCCCTCTTGGTGGACGCGATGGTAGTCAAACGATGTTGTCATATCTGGTTTGAGGCAATGAGACAAGAGAAGAAACAAAGTAAATGTCTCGCGTGTAGAGACTGCATCTTCCTCAAGTGCACGAGCCATCTTTATCACCTATCATACCACCTGCTCATGACACGAGAACCTCAACTTCAAGGAGGTTTTTGGGTGGACCGAAAGTTAGGAGCCATCGTCGGGCTCAATACGTGAAAGAAGCGCTTGTTGGGAGGCAACCTAACCAGTCGGTTTGCAATTCTTTCCCTATTTCTATTCGGTAGAGTTAGTTTTGTTCTTTGATTTTGGAGTCAATAACTCAAAGAATGCACCGCCTGGCCCGTCCACCATCATTCACACTTGATCTGATAACTTCATTCTACCCTCCTTATTTTTTCTCAATTGAGGACAATATCGTGCTTAAGGGTGGGGGTGTTCGATTATGTATCCGTATGAATGTTTGGTTGTATGTGTGTGTTTGGAGCCTAGTCCACTGTCCAAATTTTATGATTCGAGGGCTCCAAGTACTGTTCCTTGCAATAACCTGCTCAAGATACTTTGAATTGATAGTTTTTATAGTGCTATGCAACCTAGGGAGGTAGTTGTAGCACTATGGAGGATGCTGAAGTATAAAATATGTCCTATCTTTCTCTGTGTTGTGCCGATTAATTGTATGAACTAGTGGATTTAGGACCTTTGATTCATGTGGTATCGATGACTCTCCTTAGGTTGTGTTATTGACTCATGAATCGTAAAAGGGTCCTCAATTGTGCGTAGCGAAAAGCAGTTGGTCCTCCAGCTCGAAAAAATTAAAATTTTAAACATGGGTAAGCCCAACGTGTGTGGCACCGTTCATTGCACAAAATCGGGCTTTGCAAGAGATTTTAGTGATCCTTGGTGGGGTAGGCCTACAAGGTGAAGCTAAGTCGTCTCTAGTACAAGTAAAAATTCCACCCGTTGAACGGTTTGCCTACTCGAGGATGTGTTTTTAAGGGCACGGATACCGCTTGCGACCCCTCTTAATTGCATTGATCCTCCACACAAGTTGAGGAAAAGGAGTTAAAAGAAGTACTCTGTCAAGCAACAGATGTACATAAATTGCTCTTGCTCAACCAATAAGGGTCGACCGTGCATAAAAACTATAGTTTGGAACCCTATCAAAGTGTGAATGGGAAAAACAAAAGAAAAAGAAAACAATAGTAAGGAAAAGGTGTTCCAACGATTGAAATGAAATGCAAGAACACAGGATACAAAGAGTCCTTGATTGTTATGTTGGGTGAGTCTCTTTATCCATGAATTGTATGTCCTAGGTCCACTACTTCTCATGATCCTGGTTTGAGTCTATAACTCGCATTGAGCAAAATAGGCCATATATTGGAAAACTAGTTGACCTCATAAGCTGCTAAATGATCTAGGATGTCCTCTACTGATGATCGGGGTTGCATGTTACTGTAAAGTTCTGGAAAGTTGCATTGGTTTGAGTCAGGTTTTCTTGGGGACAAGCAAACGGTTAAGTGTGGGGGGATTTGATAACAATGAATTTGCACATATTTTGACCCCTCATTTCTTGATTGCTTAGCTTGGTGTTTATCATACTTTGGCCCATTTTACGCTAGGTTGTGTTCATTTGTCACATTTCAGTGCCCCCCATCGCCGTCGAACTTCAATCCCGTTGTGGTTCAATCATAGAGAAATAAAAACCAAACATCAACAGTAACCCCAAAATTGTCAACCGGATGAAAATGACACCAAAACATACATCAAACTAGGAGTCCACGCCTCATTTGCTGCTTACACACAATGCATTAACAACCATGTCTTTAGTAGCAATAAAACTGTATTTCATTGACCATATCTCAACCTTAGTTTCTCTTTTTTATAAGGATACAATAGTAATTAACTCTATAACAATTCACATCCCGTCGATCATCATTAACCAAAGAGGACTTTTGATAGCAGCTCCTAACTCTGATTCGCGACTTCGCCTCTGAGAAACCGGAAGGAGCGAGGCTTTTCAATAGGAGCTTGTTCAAATTGAGTAATCGGAACCCAAAAAAACCAACAAAAGAGAATTATTGCCCTTGCTTGGTACGATGTTGGGATTTAGGTCACACAATTCGCCCATCAGGAGTCGGCGCTCCCGCTTTAGAGCGGGTAAACGCGAATTTAAGGAAATTCGAACAAAATTCGTGAATTTTTGTTTGTCGGAGCGCGAATTTTCGTGAGAAATTCGTGAACTTAATTCATAGAATAAGAGGAGAATAGAAACTGTCGATGGTGATGACAATTAATTTGATGAAGGAGAAAGAATCGTTGGCTGGTTGATGGAGAAAGCTGAAAACATGCCCAAGTCTCTCCATCTAGAAGAGAATCAAGTAATTGGGGGAGATCTTGAACTTTGAGGCGATGGCTTATTGTCATCACAAGAAATAGCAGTCTGAATCAAGGATTGCATGTAGGGAGTCGGTGGAGCTCACTTGGGTTTTCAAGACTGGGAAATTTTATGAGACAGGGGAGATTTGTCGATAGGAAGAAGGTGCAGATCGCAAGATGTGAGGTAAGCTTAGTGAAGTTTTGGAGAAGTGCGATAGAGAGAGGTAGATGCTGCTGATACGAGGAAGAAGGGAGCAGAGGATAGCGTCGGCAGCTTCAGAGTTGAGGGTAGATTGCTCGTTTAGGGTTTTGGAAGGCAACCAAATTTGGGCTCCATAGATACACTTTGTTTGGCCCATACAAAGTTTTAATTACCCGCAAAATTTTTGTGGGTTGTACTTAGCTTGTGCCTTGTTGTGGCCTGTGGGTGTGCTGTTGTGGGTGTTAATTATTAAGTAGGGAAATTTAAAATTTTTATTTTGAGTTTTTTATTTGATTTCACCTTTTTTCAGTTTTGGATAATTAAAGACATTGACGTAGGTTGTATCCATAGAACTTTAAATTAGTCTCATTTTCTATGAGTAGTTTGAGTATTTTGTCAAAATTAGGTATTATTTAAAATAATATAATATTAACGCTCTGTCGACGCTTTAAATTTATCATTTTTTAATAATAACGCTTTCACGCTTTCGCTCTCGCTCCCGCTCCGATGAATCGGTAAGCTAAGTTGGGATGCTGGACCTTCCCGATCGCCTCCACTTCCGATTCGAACTTCTTTAGCCGCCACCCGCCGCCGCTGCCGCCGTCGTTTTTCGTCAGCCTTCTCCCGGCGACCACCGCCCCTGCTCCGCCTCTCCCTCCCACCACCACCTTGTACGGTATCCCGCTCCTCCCCTTCCCGGCCACGTAAGCCGACGCCCTCAGCAGATCTTCCAATTCCAAATTGAACCCTTCGTCACCGATTCTGCCGCAGCCTTTTCCCAGGTTTTATTCTAAGATTTTATGGTGGGTATCGGTCTGATAAGAATTAGGATTCCGATTTGGTTGTTCTTTTCTCTGCCTTTGGACGAATGGATGCAGGAAGTATAATTTTTGGCTCCAACTCCTCGTTCATAGCTTCTCCCGCCAGTGAGCCCATGATGGAGATGGAGCCGTAGTCGGAGCCGGAGCCTGGGATTTCAAGCGGTGGGAAGATGAAAACTTAAAGTTGTCGCGTGGCAATAGGTTAGATGCATAAGAGGAGGAGGCCTAGTCAGTGGCATCAATGGTTTTTTTTTTTTATGTCTATCCACTAGCCAAAAAGTAGCAGTGATGGGCTTGGATGAGCGTCGTTTTGCTTATTCCACAAACAGAGGAGCTGGCTTCATTTTTGCTTTTCCAGCTGCTAATGCGGTGTCACTCGTGGCACTTGGGCCACTCTCATGGGCCTATTGGGTCGGGACTATTTTTGTGTTCAATGTTTTGCAGGTAGCTTGCACTTCAGGTCGGTGTTGCGGGGCCTAGCTTTTAGCACGAGTAGCAGACTCCGATCCTAGGTGGAGGCACGAAGAGCTTTAAGGCGCAGTGGTGTAGCGGCGGAAACTTATATTATTTTTTAGGGTTTAGTGTTTTTGTCACTCTATTCTTAGGAACTAACAGAGCTGCACATTTAGTGGCATAAAGAGCTCTTTCATCGACAGATCGGTTAGTATTGACTGCCGTTATTTTTACCTATTGTAAACATATCTGTCTACTATTTCATCTCACTATAATAAAAAAATAATTTCACATCCCGTCTCGCCTCCCCTTCCCTTCCCCTTCCCCTTCCATCCCCTTCGTTTATCCGCCGCTCGTGAGAGAGCTCTTTGGAAAGTTCATTCTCTCACCACCTCCTGGCCCATGCCATGTTGCTTCTCTCTCCTCGGCAGGTAAATCGGCCTCGAGAGCAAGTCTGTTCCCACAACAGTGACCAAAAGAAAAACGAGTTCCGGCGTAATTAATTAACAACTTTGGAGCGGTCTGCAAACTCTTTCCCGCACAACTATAGGTGTCAAAACATAGCCCGACTCGATTAACCCGCCTGATCAATAAGACCCGCAACCCGACCGCACCCCAAATTGACTAAAAGTCAACAACCCATAACTCGCCCGACCCGCAACCCGATTGACCCGCAACCCAACTAACCCGCAACCCGAATGACCCGCAGCCCAATTAACCCGAACTCGATTGACCCGCAACCCGACTGTCCCGCAACTCGATTAACCCGAACCCGATTGACCCGAACCCGACTAACCCGTAACCCGACCGACTCACTCAACCCAAATTTCATCTAATCCACTTGAATAATTATAAAAATATACAATACATAGTTTTCCAAAATAAAGTTTTTTTTTCTTCGTTGAATCAGCCTCTTTATTATTAAAGAAAAGGAACCAATACAACGAGGAGAGTCATGAAGACTCCATAAAGGAAAATAAAACTGCTACCTCTTCTAACCCTCTCCACTCGTATAGCCCACTTACTTACAGTAAAGAAAATCAAACTAAGAAAAAAAGACTAGATATACCCCAACTCTCCCAACTCAGCCTTTGATTCTGTGTGATTAGTAACTATGAAATTTAATTCCTCCCTCAGCGGTGCAGCAAGCTTCGCAGGAGGTTTGCATACCGACCCATGAACCACAGCACATCTTTCCTTCCACACAAAAGACACAATAAAACACCAGATCATAGCATGCCAACGTCCCTTCGAATCCCTGTTTACTTTAGTCATCATACCACTCAGCATTTCATCCCAAGTACCATAGTGAAATAGAGTGGAACTGAAAGCAGAGGAGACCTGTTGTAAATACAAGCACTGTAAAAACAAATGCTCTCTTGATTCTTCATCCCCTCCACATAACAAGCAAGAAGCATCAGTTATCTTCCCCCATCTCAACAACTTGTCACGAGTAGTAATAGAATTTCTAATTATAAGCCATGTCAAGAAACTGTACCTCAATGGACAGGGCTTACACCACACCAACTTATACCAAGGTACCTCAACCTACCTGATTCTTATTGTCTCCCAAACCTGATTCACTGAGTATTTCGTCATCAGCTTTGTCCTCCAGTAAATTATTGCATCTGTGTAACCAGCCTTGTATCAAAGATCTTAACTTCAACAATCTTCTCCACGTCCAGGAACTGTTGTAGGAAATCTTCATTGTCCATAGATCCCCCTGCCTACATTTATATGCATGCATCCAAGCTACCCATAGAGTTCCATAATTCAACAGAAATAACCAAAGCAATCTAACAGTGCAAGCCTGATTCCTACTCACTAAATCTTTTACCCCCAATTCCCCCTCTTTTTTAGGAAGAGCAATGAACTTCCATGCTACTTTAGCTCTGCCCTCATCAATCCCATGCCAAAGGAATTGTGAACATACCTGCTGGATTCGTTTGAAAACTTTTTTAGGCAGTACAAATAATTGCATCTAGTAATTGACAATGCCTAACAACACAGTGTTAAGTAATTGCAATCTACCCGCATATGTTAACTTCTTTACCCTCCAGGATTTCATCTTCTTTGTCAGTTTATCCACTAAAGTATCAATTTCCTTGGATGAAAGTTTACCAGTTATCAATGGTAATCCCAGATACCTTACAGGAAGCTGTCCCTCCTGGAAACCAGAAAGATTCAATGCATTCCTCTTGTAAATCACTGATTCCCCACCAAAATACACCTCACACTTTGCTGGATTGCTATTCAGACCAGATATCTGATAAAAATGTTGCAAGACTGCTTTAACTTGCAAAATAGCCTGTGCAGAACCAACTGTGAAAACCAAAATATCATCTGCAAAACAGACATGGTTTAGCAACACCCTCCTACACTGTGGATGAAAGGGAATTGCCCCTGTTTGTCCAGCCTTCTTTAACAGTGAAGTGAGCCCTTCCATGGCTATAGTAAACAGGTAAGGTGATAATGGATCACCTTGCCTGACCCCCTTCCTTGCTCTAAAAAAGCCACAAAGACTACCATTTACATTTATACTGTAATGGGCTGTTTGAAGACAACTTTTAATCCATTTCATAAACTGATCCGGAAACCCATAGAATCCATCATAAGGAAAAGATATGACCAATTAACCGAGTCAAATGCTTTCATAATGTCAACTTTAATAGCACATCTTGAAGATAGATCTTTCCTATGATATCCACTAACCAGTTCTTGTGCCAACAGAATATTATCCATTATATTCCTTCCTTTTATGAATGCAGATTGAGTACCACTTATGACTTTTGGTAATACTTCTCTAATCCTCTTAGCAAGTATTTTGGCCACAACCTTATACAATATATTCACACAAGATATTGGCCTAAAGTTCTTTAAAGTGTCAGCATTTTGTACCTTGGGGAGTAAGGAGACAGCAGTGGAATTCACACCACTAGGCATGGCACCTGTTTGAAAGAAATGCAGCACCCCTCTTGTTACATCAGCACCTATGATATGCCAAGTTCTCCTGTAAAAGCCAGCAGAAAACCCATATGGCCCTGGAGCCTTTTATGGACTCATAGCAAATACAGCTTCCCTCACTTCTTCAGGTGTAATAGAACGATTTAAAAACAAGCAATCTGCCCTAGGGATGGCAATTTACCCACCCATGGGTATTTTTGCCCAAACCCAATTATACCCATTTATATGGGTTGGGTATGGATTTATTCTATATGGATTTGGATAGTGTTTGGGTAGGTGGAGTTGGGTTTGGATTTTATTTTTGGGTATGGATTGGGCTTGGGTACCCATTTCTTTGGACATGTCTGTAAATATTTTATTTATTAGGTATTAAAATGTAAAGCACAATTTTTAATGTATTAAAATATAACTTTCCACACATGATGATGGACCTATCTGTATCTTCTTACAAAATTCAGGTACTAAAATGTAACTTATGCTACAGTGACCAGCATGTTCCAGCTCTTCGTCGGTTGCTTCGACGGTGCCGAACACCGGTGCCTCCTCTTCCGACCGACAGGCGAGGATGATGACGCCGAACGTCGGTGCTCTCCGGAAAAAGCTGGTGGGTGGTGGGGATGTTACCCGGCGGCGAGGCTCCGGCGGGGATGCTATCGGGGAAGAGTCAAAATCGTCCCGTCATCGTCCTTCGGCCGGTCAATCGATCTGGGTTCTAGGATCTTAGCATCGATCTGGGAATTGGGATCTACGATGATTTCCACCCGATTAGAAGAAGAGAATACCTTCTTGTTCTCGGCGATGACGCCCTAGTGCAGAACTGGGTGAGTGAAATGGCGGCTTACCTTCAATCATTAGAAAAAAAACAAAACTCAACTCCTTCTCAGTGAAAACAGACATCAAATGAACGATCCCCATTCAAAATGAAATGGACCAAATGACTCCGAAAAAGTCCCCGATTCTCCCAAAACTAAAGAACCCAGTATTCTTCGATCAAAACCACAAAACCCACTGACCAGAACGAAATTTTAGCACAGATTCGACCCAATCGAGAAGAGCAAAGCTTCAACTAACCCAATTGGCAACGACCCTTCAATCAAACAGAACGAAACAAATGGAGAAGAAAGTAAGACCTGGGTACTGCACCTAGAACAGTAAAGGTCGAGAATTTTTATGCACAAGTCGGAGTTTGCTTAGTGGCGCGAGCTGGAGCTGGGTTGAAGCCAAGTGTGATTTTGCTGTCTGCTGTCTTTCCCCCACATATGGCTGCCACGATTGGTGATGGCAGAGTTTGGAAAGTCCTCAAAGCTTCCAGGCTACAGCTTGGCCATGAGGGATGGCTACTTCAAAAAGATTTACGATTCAAGTAGTCCTCCAATACATATGTGAGCTTGAGGTTTGATAGCGAGAGATAGAATAAGAGACTGTGCTTTTGGTTTCTTCCGTCTGTGATTTCTGTATTCAGAGAGCAAGTGATCAAGTTGATCAACATCGCAGGCTAAGAAGTTTTTGCAGGAACATATACACTTCAGATACAAACCTGCACCATGGATATATACATTCATCCATAAGAAATTCAACATGAAGATACAGAAAGAGAAAGCCAGAGCACACCCACAGGCTCAAATCTAAAACCCCAGCAAAACCCAATAGCCCCACCTTAGATAGATAACTTCAGATACAAACTCCCAAATCCTTTCTCAGTCCTCATATTCCATAACTTGTTCATCATCACCGCCATCGTTGTCACCGAATATGGTTTGAGTCGAACCATCAACGTCTGAAGAGAAAATGGCTACATCTACAAAATGACAGCCAACATACATTACTACTCTCATGATTCATAGATAGACTATCATCATTAGTTTCTGAAGCCATATTTCCCTAGAAAAATCAAGCAAGCAACAAACAATCATTCAAACTAGTGCAACAGTACAATCATTCAACCAAATCAGGATTAAAAATGCTTCAAACAAAGACAACAATACACAATTATTCAACCAAATTGCAGGTTGCCTACTTGCCTTTACTAGCTTGACTATAGATTCCACTCAAAGCTTCATTAGCCAGAGTAATCCAACATGAAGCAAACAATGTAATGTAACAAGACAACCAATCTTTAAAGCTTTCAGTTCGCAATCAAGTCTCCGTTCTAAATCCTATCATTCGCAAACAAAAACAAATCCAGAATTCCACCATTTCAGCTGCATTCGGATCCTCAAACTTGATCTAGAGGTCAAGACAATGCAACAAGACAACCAATCTGGCAAGAAGAAGAGGAAGAAGAAAAACAGAGTGCCAAAATTTCCGTATCTGAATTCTGGCAATTGGTAAAGTTACTTCAACTTCCTATCACCGAATCTCAAGCAAGCAAGAAAGGAAAACACAGAAGCAGAAAAATCGAGCATCCAAAATCAAATTTTCAAAAATCAAAATCCCAAATCGACGAATTCGTTCACAGTTCACACTCGCAGAGAGAACTGGGAAGGGTTTGGGGGACGATGGAATTCGTTCACAGTTCAATTAGCAAAACCCAATTAGTCAATTACCTGGATTAACTACTCTCTTTCAGAAACTCGAAACTTAGTAGCACTGGGCGGCGGCGACGTTGGAGCTAGTGGCAGTGGCCGGGGTGGCGACGAAATCGGAGTGGGTTTCTGTATCTTTGGTGGCGCCGATGCGATTCAGTGGTCGGACTCGGAGGGGATGCCGAGATCGGAGGTGGTCGGGGCGGCGACGTTCGAGCTAGTGGCAGTGGCCGGGGCGGCGACGTCGTGGCCGTCTCTGTTTGCTCAGCCGGCTCGTCGTCGACGAAGGATGGGTAGAGAGGAAGAGAGAATGTCGAGTCTCTCGACTGAGTCAGAAACGAAGATATTGTTTTATTTTTCTTTTTAGTTTCATTTTTTTTAATTATTTGGGTTTGGATTTTTTAACCCAAGTTCATGGGTAAAACCCAAGTAAACCCAACATAATGGGTATGGGTATTGACCCATCTGGCTTTATCCATTTACACTTTAATTGGATTTCAGACCCAACCCAAATGGGTTGGATAGTTATAAACTCATGGGTATGGGTATAATTGACAAGCCTAATCTGCCCCTGATAACTTTTGCTGCACTAACTCTTCTACCTCTTCCTTCACAGGCTTGATTTCCTGATTTGCAGTACCCAGTAATTTTTTGTAATGAGATGTGACTTCCTCCCTTATATGATCTGTGTGTGTTAATTCTACCCCAGTCTCAGTAACTAGCTTCCTAATAGCTCTCTTTGAGTTTCTTATCTTCACAGCTTGATGAAAGAAAGCTGAGCCTGTATCTCCTATTGTCAACCATGATACCCTAGACTTCTGCCAACAAAAACTTTCATATGCCAAACTGATCTGATCCAATTTCTGTTTACACACCTTGACTGCCTCAAAATGAGTAGTTGTAGGATCTGAAAGAGCCTGCACTTGTACTCTCTTGAATTCCTCTGCATCCTCTTCAACTTGTTTATGCAGTTCCCCATAGACCTCTTTATTGAATTTTTTCAAAGCTTGTTTCACTTCACGCAGTTTACCTTGTACTATCTGCATAGGTGTACCCTCAACCTCTTTCGCCCAGGCTGTCTCAACCACCTCTAGAAACAACGTGTGCTCAGCCCAAAATTCAAAATATTTAAATGGTTTTGGATAAGAAATAACAGAAGCTGAAGTACTAACTTGAACCCCACAGTGATCAGTGAAACCTGCCGGGAAGATTTCCATTGCACAATCCTTGTAATAATCTATCCACTGAATATTGACCAGAGCCCTATCAAGTTTCTTGGCTATAGGATTATTCAGCTGCCTATTAGTCCAAGTGAACTGTGGTCCTGTCATTCTATAATCCAGCAGCTCCATTTCACCTATCCAGTCATTAAATTCAGTCATACTTTGGTTCATACAGGAGAGATTGGATGTTTTAGCTGGTAAACGTACTGTATTGAAGTCCCCCCCCCCCCCCACAATCCAAGGATAACCACTGACTTTCACCCTGGCAATGTCCTCATAAGTTGCCTTACGTTCAGCCTCATCATTCGCAGCATAGACTGCTGTTAAAAAGAAACTGCTTTTGTCAATGTCTTCAACTAGACAGTGCACAAATTTTTTTCCCGGTTTTAGCACCCTGAGCTTTATGTCTGGATTCCAAAATAGCCACACACGCCCCAGATTTGAATCAACAAAATTCATATACCTCTCCCAGCCTTGAAACACTTCCTCCACTGCCTTCTCAGCTTTCTCTTTTTGAATTCTGGTTTCTAAAACAGCTACAACATCTACCTTATTTCTACGCAGGACTTGAAGCAAGCCCCTTTGTTTGGAGGTTTTGTTAAACCCCCTTACATTCCAGAATAAGATAATCATTTGGAGGAAGAGGGTTTCCCCCCACCCTTCCTAACCTCTTTTTTACCATCCTTCTTTTTTGGAGCTGCTTGAACCTTAATGATATTGTTTTCATCCAATTTACTTAGTGCAGTAAATGTTGATGTAGTCTGAATCTGTGGACTTGACTGAGGAGACCAAATGCGAGGTTTAGCCCCATTTACAACCATCTGGAACTCATCAACAGTAGGTAGCTTAGGAGAACTAGCTACATCTTGAAAGGACTTGTCCAGGTTAAGAGGAATCTGACTCGACCCTGCAAACTCAGGGATCATAGCACTTAGTTGAGGATCAGCATCATATAGCACCACTTCCTTACCTTTTCCTTTATCCACTGTTTGATCCTGCACTACCACTGGAACATCCATTTTGGCATTCTGCACCTTTTCAGTAAAAGAGATCACAGGATTAACTTGATTAGGGACCCATTTCTGTTCTTGTTGCTGCCCTTGATGCATAGTACATTCCCCCATTATACCAAACAGATGACATTTAGGACAAATAGGAGGCAAATTACAGTAAGTAATACCAATCCTTAACGCAGAATCATCATCTGGCCATATTAAAACATGATCTGGGCATTCACTATCTACTGTGAGTTCCACCAGCACCTTGGCATATCCATGTCTATCTCCCATCCTTGTGGTATGATCAACACCTAACGGCACCCCAATCCAACTAGCAATCCTACTTAAACCCTGATAATCATTGTATTCCAGTGGGACATTAGCAAAATGCACCCAAATCGGCAGAGCCTTCCTCCCCAAATCTTCAACACTAATTCCCGGAGTCCATGGCCGAAGATAAAGTAGATTATTGAAGTGAAACCATGGACCATTCTCTAGAATCCAATCACATACCTTCTGATTTGGTAACTGTATCAGCAACATCCGATCATAGAGCAACGAGACCCGTACCTGGCCATCGCGTCCCCAGAGCTTGTTCGCCCAACGACGCAGTACATAAAGAGGAGGTGGATCCTGAAGAAATTGCCCCACCAGGCTATTCTTCCACCGCGCCGCTCCAGCATCTCGCACAGCTCTTGGCATACGCAATCCGCCATTGACAACTTCCGGTGGTATGTAAGTCAAGCGATTAGCCTCAGAGATGCCAAACAGAGACGCCCAGGGTTTCGTTGGAATTCCCCGATTGTCACTATTTGGCATCCCCGAAGCTGAGTTTACAATCGCTTCCCTCGCCTCACTCATAAGAAAAGAAAAAGAAGTGGAAGAGAGCTGCTCCGGCGCAGGTGCCGGAGCCGGCAGCGAGCTCTAGATCGGAAAACCTCGCGCACCAGATCACTCACCTCTCTCTACGTTTCTCTCTGGTATCGTTGCATTTCCAATACAATAAAATAAAGTTTTTCATTCTAAACTTAAGTAAAATTATTTTTTCGTTTCGTATAAGAAATTTAAAAAATATGAAACTCCCTTGATATTACGTATTTTAAGAAAATTACAAAAATTGAAACATGAAGGTCACTTGAGATCATGACAATATTAATATAATATATAATTTAAAATTTTGTTTAATTTAACTATTCAATAAAATTATCAATTAAATATAAATAGAGTAAAGTAATGTATTTGGTAATTTGATGTTTTTAAAAGAAGAGGGAAATTTTGGTGTATTCAAGTTTTTGGGAAGAGAAAGAAGAGAGAAATTTGGTTCTTTGAATTTTTTAGAAAATAAACAAGTGGGAATTTTGGTGGTTTTGATATGTGGGAAGAGAAAGAAGTGAGAAAGTTTGATTTTTTTGATTATGAAAAAGAAATAAGGAGGGAAACTTTTGACTTTTCAACTTTTTGTAGAAGCAAAGAAGAGGGTAATTTGGTTAACTATACTAGCAAAATCACAACTCAAGGACATATGGTTAGGGTATAGGTTATGTGGTTAGTGTATAATGTATTGATGGTTTAGGGTATACAATCAACAATATATACTAACTTAATATTGTTGATTGAGGGTAAGGCTAAGTGTATAGGATATATGCTATTGAGTAAGTTATGATTGAAGTCACAATAATTTGACTAAATTTGATAGCTAATCTTTAATGGTTCAATTTTTAGGAGAATTCGAACAATTTTACAAATAACTCATTTGGCAACAGTTTACTTAAGTTATTTGGGCAATGAGTTATTTTGAAATAACTCCTTTTATCACTATGCTTTTGCCAAATACCACACA